AAAAGGAAAGATGGAAGAAAAGACAAGGATGAGAAAGGGTCCACACCTTTGTCTTTTGAGGACGTTTCCCCCAAACAACTACTTAAATATTTCCACTTAAATCTCACAGCACAGAACCAAGTCCCCTGGTCACTCCTGGGTGTAAAGAGGCTGCAAGATATTATCTCTATTCTGGACAGCCATGGATGAGGCCAATCTCTGCTATTAAGATTGTATTTAACGTTGTTAAACACATAGGCATTACTTTGACGAAAGTTAAAATGTGAACAAAAAGAGTAGCTTGAGCTGCCCACAGACAACATGAAGGGCAATTCTGCAAGCAGCACTGAGCCTAAGCACACATGTGGCCAGGGAGGAGGAAACACCTGCTGAGAGCAGAGCCTGTCACCTCAGTGCAGGAAGTGGAGAGGGCTCTGGAGGAAGGCTAAGCAGTTGCTTAGTGGACAAAGGTATCAGGTGGTGGCTGTCAACTCCATGACAGCACCTTACAGCCCCCACCTTGAAACTCTCCTGGCCTTCCACACTGAGACCCACATTTGGAAAAAAAAATACAGACTGACATTGCCTCCCAGGAAGGTAGAGATTGTTATTACTACTTACAGCAAAGCAAACAGATCCACAGAGGTTAAGTGACTTCCCCCAGGTGGTCCTAGGGGAGCCTAAACTTGACCTCAGGAATCCAAAGACCAAGTCAACATCTCTCTCCTCCTCCAGGGGGTCTGGGCAGCCACCCATGGCCTTTGGATTCTCTGCAGAGCCAGATCAGGCCTGTCGATAAGTCACAAGCAGCAATGACTCATTTGAAGACAAGATAAACAGCAGCAAGGCCAGTGGGCAGGGAGGCCGTTTCCTAGGCAGTGTGACTTCAGCAGGGCTGGCGAGTACACAGTTAGCGGGAGGATCCCCTTCTGCAAACACCAGCACAGCAGTTTCCAGACAAAGAGCAAGTGCTGCTGGGACTAGAAATGTGCAGCCCAGCTGGGAGCTGCAGTTATTTCTGTCCTCAAAGGGCTTTTGTCAAGAGCAGGCTGGGAGCCTGAGCATATAGAATTCCAAGCTTTTCCTCTCCGATTCCTCCAGCACCAGAAGGGAAAGTCATTCTGTGCTTCTCTAATAATAGTTCTACCTAGCATCCCATCTGGTGATCCCAAAATGCCTCACTGACATTTCTGAATAAATCTCAAGGTCCAAGGAACCTTGGGACAGTCGTTTCCTCTCCAGACCTCCCAGGGAGTTATAGGTAGACACTGTGCTTCTCAGAGAGCAGGAGAGGACTTTGCAGAAGCCAGAGGGAGCTTACTAGAATTTGTCCCTAGAACTTGCCCCAGCCAGGAGCATCTGGGTGCAGTGGGCCAACACCTAGAGCCCAGATGCACAGCAGGAAAGGGACAAAAGGCTCGGGGAAAGCCAGGCAGGCAGAAATAGCACTGGGCATTGCAGAACTGCATGCAAGACACAGCAGGGACCCAGCCCAGGGTTCACAGATGGACAGGGCTGAGCACATCCAAACACTCGAGCTAAGGCAGGATGCAAGCCTGCATGGAATCAGCTCTCAGGTAGAGAATTCAAGGAGGTAATAGGGAAACCAGACAGTAGATAGATGCTGTAGGTCCCATGGGGTGATACAATGCTGACCTGGCTAGAGAGATGTTACTGCCTTGCTGGTCACAGAACTGACGCAGTCTCAGGTGATGCAGCCTTGAAAATTAGGAGTCTATTGGGATGGGGCACCTCAGGGGCAACTCTGGAATCAACACATCTTGGCTGCCTCCTTCAGTCCTCATGCTTCTGGGTCCAGCAGGGGACTTTCACTCCACCCTGACACTGTGTGACAACACTTAGGATTAAGTCCTCCTCCATCTTTGACCAGCTTCCCAAGCTCCCTCAGTTTGAACCTTTCAATGAGTGGGTTTTATCTTTTTTCTTTCATTATTTTGCTGCTGTTGTTGCTGTTTGCAGTGCTGAGGCTGAGGATTTAACCCAGATCCTTTGCACCGAGCTATATCCCCTCTCTTTCATTTTGAGACAGAGTCTCCCCGAGTCACTAAGCTTTGCTTGAACTTGTGATCCTCCTGCTTCACCCTCCCAGAGTGCTAGGATTACAGGGTTGCACCACTATGCCCAGCTCTGTCATTCATTCTCACATGACTTACTCTAACTCCATCTCAACTTTTAGCAAAACACCATGGAACCATAAGAGCTGGGTAAATTATTTCTTCTTCTTCATCTTCTTTGTCACCTTCTTCTTATCCTCCTCTTTCTTCCCTCCTTCTCCTCCTCTTCTACCTCTTCCTCCTTTTCTTCTTCCTCTTCCTTACTTTACTTATATACATCTACTTAAGGAGATTTACAAAAACAATATGATAAAATGACACTACAGTCTCCCCATAAGATCAACACTGAACCTAACCATTGAATTTGATTCAGTTCTTGTCCAATTCAGTTTGCAACCAGAATCATGGAAAGAATTAAATTCGTGAACTGAGCTACCACTGTATACAAATAAGAACAAAATGATACTATGCAAATAAAAGTTATAAATCCTGAGTGGTCATTGGAAAGAATAAGTGGATCAGAGAAAGAGAGCATTAATCTGAGAAGGCTTCTTGAAGAAGGTGGGTTTTGAGCCACTTACTGGGAGAAAATAGAGTTTGGGTTTACATATTAGAATTATTTTGGTTGAAAGTGACAGCGATCTAATTCAAAGTAGTTTAAGCCGAGAAAAAGAACAGAAACAAGGAAAGAAGGAAAAAGAAAGGATAGAGGGAGAAAAGGAAAATTAATGAAGGAGAAAAATAGGGAAAACTAGATTGCCTTGGATAATGGGAAGTAGGCTTGGCTGGATTCAGAGACTCAAATGATATCACTGAGAAGCCACCATTCTGTTCTCTTTCATTCCCAGGTGGACTCCCTGAAGGGTAGCTCCCCAGACTTAGATTCTAGAGCTTTGGAAACCCAACAGCAAGAGAAGGCTTCTCTTTTCCAAGAGTTGAGAGAGGATTTGAAAAACAAAACCACTTCCGTTATAAAGAAATGCTGGGAGGTTGATTTGTTACTGAACCTTAACTCAGCCCATCCTAACTAATATGAGCCTCATTAGTCTAGCCTAGGACACATGTTCACTGCTCAGCCAGTTGACTATAGTGCCCTAATTAGTCAGACTGAGTCACAGGTTAGCCCTGGAGCCAGGGAGCTGAAGCCACACTGAAGCCACACACACCCCTCCCCTTTTCATGGGGTCTGAGATCTCCCCAGAGGAAGAGCACTAAGCAATAAAAACCAGAAGATGGGGCCGGGGATTTAGCTCAGTGGTCCCAGTGCCTGCCTCGCAAGCTCAAGGTCCCAAGTTCGATCCCCGGTACCAAAAAAAAAAAAAACCAGAAGAGTAGAGAGATGGAGGGAGAAGGAGCACCCTGCATACTAATAGTTTCCAGAGCTGGGGCTTGCCTTTCTGCCTTATGATCCACCTCGCTCCAAGGCCCCAAGCTCCTGGCCACAGGAATCACAGTATTCTTCAAGGGATTTTGGAACTCCCAGAGCAAGTATAGGTTCTGGCGTCCCTTTCCTTGCTTCTTGCCACCTGCTATAGCCCAGACTCCCAGCTGTGAAGATTGGTTGCCCCTGCAGAGAGGCCTGCAGGTGTCCAAGGGTGACCTGGAGGCCAAGCATCCACACCTGCAGCCATGAGGGCCACAAATCCCTCAGGGACCCTGCAGCAGCCGCTCCCTGCATGCTCACACCTCATTCCAGCAAAACCTCTTCCTAGGGGAGCTGAATGAGCGCATCAGCAATTCCTGCTCTTCCATTCCCTTACATATTTTTAACCTCTTGGGCCAAAGAATTCAATCTGGTCTGTCTGCCTCTCCCACGGTGCCCAGAATCCAGCCGGAGTCAACACGTCACCCTTCCTGCAGCAGCTCGAGGGTCAGGAGTTCATCCCACTGAGCCATGCTTGGGGGTGGGGGTCCTAAGAAGCATGACATCCTCCCCCAAAGCCCCAACAGCTGTGTTTCCCCTCCGCTCAGAAGGAAAGAGACCAAATAAAGCAGCAGGAGGAATTACATGGTGCAGAAATGCTCAGCATAGGATTCAGAGTCAAAAGGTCAGATTTTCCGTTATAATTTGAGCAGGTCTCTTTTTGGTTTCTGCTTCAATGGGTTTTCCTGTTGGCAAAATGAAGAATGAAAGGGGCCATTTAAGCCAGCAAGTGAGTCTTTGACACAGCAAGCTTCTCCATCCCAGTACCACTAGATCCAACAGCAGTCCAAAACCAAGCCAACTCTTTTGTAGAGAATTTCCAGACTCCCAAAGCTACCTTAGGAAGGAGAATGGAGGTCTAACTGAGCTTGCATCTTCAGTTCTTTGTCCACACTGGCCACTGGATAGAGCAGAAGGCTGGTGGGCTGAGCCATAGTACCTCTCAGAGGTGACCAGAAGCCAGGCATGACAAAGTGTCTCACAACACAGGAGCCTGGCTCCTACATCACACCTGGAAGCCTCAAAGTAAAGGAAGACTCCAAACCTACCACTCTGAGCTTTATGTGTACATATTTAAGGCAATAAAACCCATGGAGATGCAGCATTTGCAAAGTTTGGAGAGGGGCTTGAAGACAACTAAGTTTGTGACAAGCTCAGAGAAGGCAAGAGATAGGTAGCTCCAGGCTGTTATCCAGAACTCGAAATTTATAGATACATAGATGGAAACAGAGATGGATGATTGATAGATAGATAGATAGATGATAGAGAAAAATGAAAAAAACTAGTCAAAACACCTGATATGCACTAGGCTGAAGAGGATACAACTAAATATATAACAGAGCCTACTTAAGGGCAAGGGTGAATATAAGGGCTTTGTATGGGTGCTTCAAAGGGACAGATCTAACAAAATCATTCCGGGGGAATCAGAGCAAGTCCTGGCAGTTGTAAAAGATGATTCTGTTTGCCAGTGGCAGCCACCCTATGGCTTACTCAACTAAAAAGGTGCCAGATTCAGGTATGGTAGGATCCAGGCTTGGAAGTACCTTGAGGACTCAATCCTTCTTTGCCATGTCTTGCATCTGGTTCCTTCTGTGCCAACTTTATGCCATATGCCATACCCTGGAGCCTGCAGGCTGACAGCTTACTTCCTGATGGCCATCACCGGGTGCAGGTAGGGGGTGGTTCTCCTTTCAAAGGTTCTCATTGACATCATTTATGTCACAGTCCCTGAGGCCAGTAAGAAGGAATACACTTACTGGGCAGACCTGAGCTATACAGGAGGAGCTTCATGGGTCTGGAAGGGTCTGGAATGCCAAGAAGCCTGGGCTAGAAATAAAGAAAGGAGGCATTAGAATAAAGATTGAGCTGAACTGGCCCAATTCTGCCACTGACCGGTAGTGGGGCTTTGGGCAAGTCATTACCCCTCAGTGAACCTCAGGTTCTTCATTTTGTAAATAACAGTAACAATGCTTACTACAGACAGCTGCAGTGGTGACAAAGTAACTTAAGTTCACAGAGTACTCAGTTGGTTTAATGCATCTATTCCACTTTCTTTCCCTTTACTCTCGTTCTACCTTAAGACTACCAGAGGCTCACCTAACACATCATAGTCCCTACCTCCCTCATCTACAGTTTTGCTGCTTGCAGTTTCAGTTATTTCCAATCAGCCATGATAGTCTGAAAATACTCAATGGAAAATTCCAGAAATAAACAATACATAAGTTTTCAATTCAGTGCCATTCTGAGTGGTGTGATGCAATCTCAAGCCATCCCACCAAATCTGCAAATCCTCCCTTGTCCAGTGTATCGGAGCTGTATGCACTACTCACCCTTATTAGTTACGTGGGCACTTAGTAGCCATCTTGGTTACAGTATCGTGGTGCTCGTGTTCCAGGAACTGCTATTTTACTTAACAATGGCCCCAGAGTACAAAGTTAATGATGCTGGCAGTTTAGACCTGCCAGAGGGAAGATGGAAAGTACTGTAAAGAAGAAAGGTGAAGAAAGGTGAAATATGGATATCTATGGGTTAGGAAAAAAACACAATATATACAAAATTTAGTACTCTTTGTGGTTTCGGGGATCCACTGGGAGTCCTGGAACATATTCCCTGAGGATAAGGGGACCTGCTGTTCAGAATCCTGGGAAGTGCTGAGCTGAAGAGATAGGAGGGGACCTGGACACACAGCCCTTCTCAGTAGTCATCCCCACATCTTGCAAACCAGCCTGAGAAACAGGGAGTTGGTACACCAGGGCCAGCTAGCAGGCTGGGGCTCAGATCCAAGGGTCTGGGGCTGGAGCCGGAGGTTCTACCCCAGCCAGCACCACCCAGAATGCCAAATGCAGAGCCTCCAAGAATGCATCTCAGGTCTGGAAGCATCAAGCCAGGAACAGAGTTGGGATTGCCAAATTGAGAGGGTGGGGACAGGAAAAGGAAGCAAAGCACAAGGAAAGGGCAGGAAAATCCGAGGGCTCACCAAGAGCCAGGGAAATAGCCTCGGCAGAGCTCCAGGACTGAATCAGGGCCATCCACGAGTTCTGAGAGATTAGAGAAATTCTTTGAATTCAGAAAAACATCAGGACAACCTTGCCCACTGTTCCTGGAAAGGGCCATACTGTGTCACCAGCATTATAGTCCAGACGCCAATGGGAATCCAATGTGGAACACTTACAAGGCAAAAAGGAGCAGGCCACAGATTTCAAGATTTCAGGAGGCCACACTGAGACCCCTTACCCAGGATTTGCTTTGCCACTGTCTTCTCAAGACACCCAACTGCCAAGAGCACCTCTCCAGCCTTCCCAAGTGCAGCAGAAGTGCCCTCAGACCCCAGGCTCACAGTGGGCTCACCACACAGCAGGCAGGAGCCAGGCCCAGGTCTCATCACTCCTAGGTAGAGTATAAAGGTTGGAATAACCACCTCTTGCAGAGTTTCTAAAAGGAACAGAAATAATGTATGTGAAAGTGCTTTGTACATTCTGAGGAGCAATTTCAGTGCTCATTTGTGATGCTACTATTATTAACACATTCAGCCAGAGCCCTGTCCCTGCAGGTACCCACACCCACCCTTCCCTAGTGCCCTCTATGCTGGCATGAGTATCTCTGTCCCTTCACTGGGAGGCATCCCCCAGGCCCGTGCATGGGGTAGGCAGAGGTATCAGAATTGATGGTCCTAGGAGCAGCCCTTAGCTATTAGACAGACACACCCAGGTTTCCCTAATCTTAAAGACGTATTCTCTGTTATCCCCCAGAACATCCTAGCCTTAGATGCCTTCTCATTCTACAGCTGGAATTCACTCCACAACATCCTATCATGACAGCCCCTCTCATCTGCTTGTACACAACTAGTGACAACTAGTGACAAGGAGCAACTAGTGACAAGGAGTGACAAGGAGCTAATCTTGAGCACCTTATTTCCTGTTTAGACAGCTCTGACTCTTAAAAGAAGCTTTCTTACCTTGTATGCAAGCTGTCTTCATTTCATTTCTACCCCCTTTTTTCTGCTTCTTCCTCTAGAAAGTATTAAACATATTTATTTAATTCTTGCTAATGTGTGAAGGGCTCATTCCAGGTCCTTTCTTGTCATATTCAAGGTTGAAGAGTCCTGAGCACCTGAAATGTGGGGAGGTAGTACAGAAAAAAGAAATAAAGTCAGAATGAGGAGACTGAAGATAGGAAAATTCCTATATTAATCAACTTTCTATCCTGGGACAAAATACCTGACAACCAAAAGGAGCTGGCACATTCCCACAATCCCAGCACTCAGGAGGCTGAGGCAGGAGGATTGCCATAAATTCAAGGCCAACTTGGGCTACATAGTGAGTTCAAGTCCAGCCTGAACTGCACAGTGAGACTCTGTCTTCAAACAAACAAACAAACAAACAAAAAAACACCTAAAAGAGGGGAAGTCTATTTTAGCTCACGGTTTCAGGGATTTCAGTTCATGGTCAGCTAGCTCCAAGGCAGAAATATCCCGCAAAAGGCTGTGACATAGGAAAGTTGCCTACTTCATGACAGCCTGGAACTGGGGAGCAGGGGAAAAGCCAGAGAGGGAGAAAGAGACTGAAACCAGATATAGTCACCAAGGTCACACCCCCATGACTCAGCCAGACCCACTCAGGATTGTGTTTTACTGATTTTCTAAGCATCTAGGAATCAAATCAAGTTGACAATCAAGATTAACCATCATTGTCTAATAGATTCCTACTGTTTTTACCTGCCCTCAGCCTTGTCCATTAACTGCATCAGAGTCTTGGAGGGAACCTCCCTTTTGTCCATGTGTTCCGCACGGGGGGGGGGGGTGGCAGGTGTGGGTGGTTCCTCCCTGTAATCCCAGGTTAGCCAGTTTGGAGGAGCTGTTCAGAAATAAGCCCATGATCCAAGCCAGGGGACTCAGGTGGACGTGGCATCTGGCAGAGGAGACTTTCTTGTAAAGGACCTGTCGGTTGGCTTTCCTAGCAATAGACTCTGAGACAGAAAATCATAAAGTGTGTGGGGGGACACACAACAGGAGACACACCAGGCAGGAGGGAGCAGAGGGGAACCAACTAAAGGAAGTGTCACTAAAGGAAGGCCCTGCTCCCCCAAAGAAATCTGAACACAAAGGCCCTATAAACATTTTCCCAAGGGCATTGGGAGTTGGTAACCATACCTCCCCCAGAGGTGCAGCATGACCTTGGACAATTTGTCTTGAGTCCAAGTGCAGATTCCCAGTGAGGTGAGATCAGCAGACACTGCATAGTTCTGAGGACAGGCCTGGCCCAAGGGAAAGTGGGCTGTGCATTGCAGCATTCACCAACTTGGAAGGACGCAGAGACAGGAGAGCACAAGGCAGAGCCCCAGGACTCAGCCAGCCCCCAGGAGGCTCAGGTTAGGGAGCTGATGAAGTCCCCAGGACTTGAGCTGCTTTATGTAGGCTTCTGTCGCCAGGGCGGAAACAGTCCCCTTCCCATGTGTCCCATGCACTAGAATTCCTCCTATGAGAAAAACCAGAGTGTCTGCTTTCTTTTCCTGCTGCTAGAACAGAGTGCCTGAGACTGGGCAATTGATAAAGAATTGAGACTTATTTCTTACTGCTCTAGAGGGTATGAAGCCCAGAGTGTCTTCTGGCATCTGGCATCTGGCAAGGGCCTTCTGCATCACACAGAGAGGCAGGACACACATGAATCGTAGAGTAAAGGCAAGAGGGGGCCAAATTTATGACAAACACACAGTAGCATTAATCTGTCACCTCTTAAAGGTCCTGCTTCTTCATATTGTCACAATGGCAACTGAATTACAAGAGTGTTGGAGAGAACATTCCAGCCATAGCAGAAGGGCAAGTCAAGGTTCAGGAAAGGCCAGGAGGAAGCAGGCCTCCCTGGCCTCTCTATGCTTTGGGCATGTCACTCATTTGGTTAAATCTCCAGTGCTCACCCACAGCACTGGCCATGACCCGGGCAGGGAGACACAGAGGTGAGCAAAGGCCTCTGTTGTCCTTGACAAGTTTCCAGCCTGCACAGAGCCTCAACCAAGTCACCCTGGGCCTTGAATCCAGTAAGAAAGTGGGGCAGGAGGAGCTTTGGGGACTCCTCTACACTGTCTGCAGACCTAGGGAACCCCCACAGTAAGGCCACCTATTGGGTACATAGGGGCAAATCTTAAAGGACCCTTAGTCTTCAACCTTGAGTCCAACCCTGGCAGCAGAACAGTGACATGTGGCTGGTCTTTTCCGAGTCAGAACTCCTCAGACCAGCAGTACAGTGTGCGGGTACAGTATGCAGGTATAATGTGTGGTACAGTGTGAGGGTACAGTGTGCAGGTACAGAAACATGGCAGAGTTCAGCACATATGCTTTGAGGCTACCCTGGCTAGATTCAAGTACAGCTGTTGTCCCTCAGCATCTGCTGGGACTGGCTCCAGCACCTCTGAGTTATCAAATCCACAGGTGCTCACAAGAGCATGGTGTTTGCAGAGAATCCACATGCATCTTCCTGTCCCTTAAATCATGTTTAGATGACTAATGATTCCTGAAGCAACATAAGCACTGTATAAATACTTGCCAGACTACATTGTTTGGGGAAAAGCAACAAGGAAAAAAGTCTGTAATACTCAGTATGGATGCAAGTTTTTGCCCAAACACTTTCAATCCAAAGTTAGTTGAATCTGTGTGTGAGGAACCTGTGGATACGGGGGGATTCCTTCACTGCCTCCAATGCTCACTGGCTGTGTAACTTTGGGCAAGTCATTTCCTAGGCCTCAATCTTGCCGTCATAAAATGGAGATAATGGAGCTGCACCATAGAGTTGTCAAGAGGATTAAATGAACTCAACAACTAGCACATGAAAATCACTCCGTGGTGGTAGCTGCAATTATTGATGTTGCTGTTGATGTGATGATGATGATGATGATGATGATTAGGTTAAGGAGATGAAAAGAGGTCTACAGCAAAACATTTCAAAACCCATGGATTTAAGCTAAGTGGCTCATCACCTCTATTCTGTCTTGCTGCTCCTTTATCTTTCTGTGTTCTTCTACTTCCTTTGCAAGATGGCCTAAACAGCTGCTCTGTATGGATCAGTAGTACAAAAGCGGACTGCAAGAATCCAGGTGAGGAAATGAGAATGCCAACGGGAGGCAGCAGCTGAAAAACCAGGCTGACATGCAGAGGTTGGCATTTGAGTAAATAAATGGATATCCGTGGAGCTCTAAGACAGGCCTGGCTTTGAATTCTGCCTCTGCCACTTGCTAGCTCTGTGACTCTAGACAAGCTGCTTAACCTTGCTGAGCCCCATTTTGGCTATAAATGGGGAAATCATACCTAACTCACAAGACTCTCAAAGGATTAAATGTGAATATTTCCTGGCACAAAATGGATGCCTAACACATATCATTTCCCCTGCTCAGGAGCTGAGTGACAAGTCAGTCAGAGCAGTGAGGTACCGCTAGCAATCACGTGAATGCAGCCCAACATCTTCTTCCAACCACAGTCCAGTGACCACATCATCAGGAGTACTGAGCTCCTTATATTATGGACTGAGGTCGACATCCCCATGGCCAGGTCATGGCAGCTGCCCATTAAGAAACACGTGTGTCCCTAAGGTCATTCTTAGCTGTTGAGGACCAGCTATGATGTGCACAGGCCCTGCAGTCCCTAAGTCAAGTAGCCTGGTCCCCAACATTTTCCTCACATAGCTTGATCCCCAACAGCTTCTGATACCCCCTTAAGCCTCTCTGTTTTCTAAGGCCCTGATAAGCTCCACCTGTTCCTAGAAATCTTCCTGGTCTTTCTATCTGATGGCCTGTAGCCCCTACTGTCTCTCTCACAATGTGAAGCCCTCAACTATGTCCTAGAGTGCACATTTGCTCCCTTGATTCAATGCAACCAAAAGCATATTGGGAACCTTCGCGCTTACACAGGGAGGAGAGGCCCTGTACAAAGAGGAGACCCTTATCCCTGACAGACTCAGTGAGAACCACAACTTGCCAAATCTTATACCATCTGGACAATCTGTAAGCCAGCCTGGGGAAAAGCCCCTTTTTCCTTTCCTGCATCTTTCCTTCAGCCCAGAGAGACAGTCCATTCCACAGATGTGAGGCTCAGAAAGGAAGGCCTTGCTACCACCACACCACGAGTAAGTACCTGCATGCAGACCCAAGCCTGCCTGTGTGACCCCAGAACCCACAGGAATACCCTCTACATCATCCTATCTCTCATATATGCAGTATGGTTTAAAAATACAGTAAATGTTTAATTTTTAAAAATTTATTCCAGTAAAAGGCACACTATCATCAATCTCCCTCAAAATACTTCCCCTCAATTGGAACATATTTATCCCGGTTCTGGAAGTGCTCTTTCATGGCTGTCTTTGTTGGCACTGTTGTGGCTGCCTCAATGTCCTGAATAGATTCAAAGCATTTACCTCCCATGGTCATTTGGAGA